CAAGGTATACCATAAACTGAAACCGGTCACTAAACTAGACCCCCTTCAAGTGTGGAGCACGCCAAAGCCATGAATTTGTAAATGGCTGTTCAATATGCAAAAGAGAGTCAATTCCTATAGTCCAGTTCTAAAGCCCATGCTTTGGTTTTCTCAGTTTTCACATGTCCTTGGTTGGGCCTTGGATCCATCCACATTTTGTTTCAATAGCACCATAACTAGAACCCCTTCTCAAATCTCACACACACACACACACCTCTTTCAGAACTGTATTAATCCCTCAGAACTCTTAATGTCTGTGCTACTGGTGGCATTTTGTTGGCTTCTGGGTATGTGGAGATATGGATGGGAAATGGTTGATTAACATTTTAAAACATAGTTGAAATCAACAGGAAATAAGATAGGATGAGGGGCACGTGCACACACACACAAACACATACACACACACACCATTCTTTAGAAACTCGACTAGAAGGGGTACATCAGTTGGCTAGAATAGCCACTGAAGCCTTTTGTATATGTGGAGGTGGAGAAGTAGGGAGAGTCAGGGGACTTGGGAACTATGGCCCCAGAGTAAGAATAACAAATCTCTGCAATGCAATCTGCAGTTGTGCTTCATCACCTACAAACCTCAGTGTTCCCTCGGTTATGAAATCTTACTTGAGTCCTGTCTTAAACCATTTCTGGGGTTTGCATATTATGTATATTTTCTACTTGGGACATATTTGATACATGTGGTAACTTCTGAGAACATAACTCCCCATCGAAACAGTGTCTATCCACCCATGAAGTCAAGGAGTAAAAAGCAAACAATCTGAATCCAATTCAGGATTATTCTCCCCAGGACTTTCAAAAGCATAAAACAAGGCGAGGAAATTCTAGGCCAGAGACCAGATCTGATAAATGGTTTAAATTTCATTTAACCCAGGACAAATCTAAAATCACATACCTACTGGTTGGTGCTTTGTTTATTTATTTATTAAGACACTTTGTCACTCAGGCTGGAGTGCAGTGGCACAATCCCGGTTCACTGCAGCCTCGACCTCCCAGGTTCAAGCAATCCTCCCACCTCAGCCCCACAAGTAGCTAGGACTACAGGTATACGTCACCACACCCGGCTAATTTTTGTATTTTTCTGTAGAGACAGGGTTTCACCACGTTGCCCAGGTTGGCTGGTTAGTACTTTAAAATGAACACAACCAATTTCCAGGTAACTGAAAAATCTCAGCATCCTAACAGAACCACCCTCAATCCCTAGCATTTGGATGTAATGCCACTTCTCAAATAAGGAATCATAAGTGCAAAAAAGAAATTCATTTGTGAGGGGTGGCTGTAAGGATGAGAGCTATGATGGTACCTGGCTGTGCTGTGGGTAGAAATGACATTGCCCAGTCGTCATCGCATAGCCCTGTATCTTGCTAATTTAAGCTACCCACACCTGTTAACTTGAGCATACTCCCACCATCCATTCTAAAAGCAATCTGGGCCATGTGGATTAAAATTTCTACTTCACCTGCTGTAACCAAGAGGTAGATGTCGGGTGTTAGGGTCCACACAGTGGGAATGAGCACCTGCTCTGGTATCCTGGGCTGTTCCAAGGACCCACTGGGGACTGAGCTGACACCTTCTCAACTAGGACTTTAGAACATTCATCTTGCCCAGCTTTAGTCTCAGGGCTGGGTAAAGCAGCTGAGCTTTTTGACTATAACCAAGGATGGAGCCATAAATAAGTAGATATGGTAAGTGAAAGTAAGATAATTGGTCCCAACTGGGTCAATGAGGGTCAGGACCCAAGATCAAAGCAAGCCACGAGAATGATCGCATATATCAAGCCAATCATATCCTTGGAATGAAACCAAGGAGGACAGAATCATGGCCCCAACAAAGGCCCAGGCTAGGCGTATACACCAGATAGATCTACATAGCACAGTGACTGGACAAATATAAAATGTGACTCAGGCGAAAGGAAAGCACGCCCAGAGCTACTTAGAGGTGGGAGAGATATCAAACAGGACAAGGTGAGACCTGGGTGACTACTGCTGGAGTATTACGGATAAAGCACTAAAAAAGAATCAGATCCCTTATCTGAAACATGAAATACTAGAGGACAGCAAAGGTGGTCTACAGTTTCTTAGGAAAGAGTTCTGTAAGTGGCCAGGCGCGGTGGCTCACGCCTATAATCCCAGCACTTTTGGGAAGCCAAGGCGGGCAGATCACCTGAGGTCGGGAGTTCGAGACTAGCCTGACCAACAAGGAGAAACCTCATCTCTACTAAAAATAGAAAATTAGCCAGGCGTGGTGGCGCATGCCTGTAATCCCTGCTACTCAGGAGGCTGAGGCAGGAGAATCGCTTGAACCCGGGAGGCAGAGGTTGCAGTGAGTCGAGATCGCACCATCGCACTGCAGTCTGGTCAACAAGAGGGAAACTCAGTCTCAAAAAAAAAAAAAAAAAAAAAAAAGTTCTTTAAAGTCAGAATTCTATGCCCAGCGATGATTATTCAAGTGTGTGGAGAAAAATAAAGACATTTCACTAAAGGGCATACAGTAATCAGTCTAATAGACTTTAACAATGGGGATAACAGAGAATTTATCCTATTGATTTTTTTAAAAAACTAAATTAGAAGAAAAATTCAAGACAGATATAAAAATCAGAGTAACAATTAAACCTGGGTATTTATTTTTTCAAATACAGAATACATGTTCTTTTCCAGTGCCTGCAGAACATTTCTCAAAAGTTATCATGCAATATGCCACAAAGAAAATCTCAAAATTCCAAAATGCAAAAATCATATAGGCCATATTTATGACTGAAATGCAATAAAACTAAAAATTAACATGATAATCTAAAAGAAAACCTTTTAAAAAATATTATTCTAAATAATATAGACAATTTAGAGGGCCTGGCACGGTAGCTCATCCCTGTAATTCTAGCTCTTTGGGAGGCCAGTGTGGGAGGGTCAACTGAATCCAGGAGTTTGAGACCAACCTGGGCAACACAGTGAGACCCTGTCTCTACAAAAAATTTAAAAACTTAGCCGGGCATGGTGGCACACACTTGTGGTCCCAGCTACTCCTTAAGAGGCTGAAGTGGGAAGATCACTTAAGCCCAAAGAGTCTGCAGTTACAGTGAGCTATGATCACACCACTGCACCCCAGCCTGGGCAACAGAGCAAGACCTATCTCTTTAAAAAAAAAAAAAAAAAAAAAAAAAGAAAGAAAAAAACAGTATAGGCTATTTAGAAATACAAGAAACTGAGACATTAAAATCTAAGGAAAACAGTCAAAGCAAAGAACCCAGGAAGATGGACTGTCTTACATGCCTTTATTAGAAATTTTTTTCTAATTGAAAAATAAATTGTTTAAATATTAAACCCAACAAATTTAAAACATGATAAAACAAACAAGAAGAAAAGGCTTATAAGGTAAAGGAGAAATTAAAGAAATAGAAAATAAAACAAAGAAGGAGATGGCACAGATTACATCATGAAGAAAAAAAGGATTTAAAGAAATCATTTATTTAGCACCTCCTAACTTCCAAGTATTGCATGCCAGGTGCTAGGGATATGTTTCATATGTTGAAAAGGACCAACATATGCTGTCTTGATCCAAACCACAGATGGTCTAAAAAGGATTCCTAGAAGGAAAACTCAGGACATCAGTATTTCTAGCTTCCATTTTTATTCTTTATATTTTGACTTTGTTCTTATTGGGAACTAAAAATTAACATTTATTTGTATTCAGTATTTTCTTGATGGTCTGGATTTCCTCTTTTAGAATCACTTACAGTGTATAATTACTGTGAAAAATACATTGATTTCTCAGTTTCAACACCCTGTTCATTTCTCTGTTTCTTCATTTTCTTTTCAATCAGTGCTTCTGCTTCTTCTGCCATTCTCCTATCTATAGTTTAAGTTTGGGGATATTAATTTATACAGAATACCACAGCTCTTACTGTAAAAGTTAACCTAGGACCAATATAGCCACTCACTTGGAGTAATACAGAGTATCATGTAGATGATGGTAAAAGCATCGAGCATATGCTGTTGCTTTATCAGACACAATAAATAATGCAGAACTAATGCAATATATCAATTTCATTCGGCCTCTAGTTATTTGAGACTATACTACATTCATTATCTTATCTACAACTGAAGGTAATACTTCTACTCAAAGCCAGTGCTAAAGACTGAATTAGATTTCGTTAGCAGTAATATGCACATAGCATGTTCATCTACCTCCATCTTTTCCATTTTCCATCTTAAGTGTTTTGGAAATGCAAAAGCCAATTAATTTGCCATCTCCTTACTACTAACCAATTTAATCCATCAAGCACAGTGTAAAACGACGAAGAACTGCTTTCAGTTTGCTATTTTCCCATACACACAAAACTTAAGAATTCCTTGATCTTAATTAAGATGACATATCACCAAGGGGACTGACCCCCTCTTTTCTATTATACTAGTCCACTTCCTGCAATATTGTATAATTAGGAACAAGTGACAAGCTGATGTATTTATATCAGCACTTACTGAAATACTAATTAAATGCTATAATAATACAACAATTACATGAACATAATCTACTGGGGTCCAATTAATACCATATAGTTACTGATTGTTTTATCAGAAACAAGTTGGTACAGAAATGTCTTTTAACTCCAAAAGGTACATCAGCATTTCTCACTGTTATGATTTGCAGCAATCATATGTATTTGCTGGAAAAGCCTCAAAGAACTGAAGGATTTGGGATTTGTTTTCCTAATCAGCATGCCTATTTTGCCTGTCTTACACTGTAATTATTAGTTCAGTAATCACTGAGCACCTACGTACCAAGCACTAAGGAAGGTAAACCTAGGTAAATTAATGTTCAAAAAAGACACAAGGATAATTCAAAACAATGAATTCCTAAAAGCCTAAAAGTCATCTATGTCTTCGATAAAGCTTTTGTTACTGTAAAATTATATTTAAATACTTGGTGCATATGATATCCTGGTGATAACCATCATGTACAAGCTACATCATAAAACTTCCAATCAGACCCTGAAAATAGTTTGGGAAGCTATGAGCATAAGTTCAGACATCATAAAGAAACACCCAATTTGTCTTCAAGCTCATGTAAGTATGATAATAGCATATATTAGTAAAAAACACATGTTTCATAGAGCAGTCCACAGAGAAATCATGAGCTAGTCTGGGCATGATGGCTCATGTCTGTAATCCTAACACTTTGGAAGGCCAAGGGTGGGAGGACTGCTTGAGCTCAGGAGTTCAAGACCAACCTGGGTAACATAGCGAAACCTTGTCTCTTGAAAAAAAAATAAAAATAAATTAGCCAGGCATGGTGGTGCATGCCTACAGTCCCAGCTACTTGGGAGGCTGAGGCAGGAAAATTGCTTGAGCCCGGGAGTTTGAGGCTGCACTGAGCTATGATTGTGCCACTGCACTCCAGCCTGAGCAACAGAGTTGAGACCCTGTCTCTAAAAAACATGAACTAAAAATAGCAAAGAATGAATTTGGTTCCAAAAACCAGTCAATAATGTTAGCTTTTTTTAATTTTAGCTCCCCAAATGTTTATTTGGTTTCTACCAGCATCTGTTTAGTTAACTGTTTTACGTCCAAACTTGGCTACCTTTTGTCATACTATTCTTTCCGATTTTACTTTTTTAAAAATGCCTTTATTGGAATATAACTGAAATACAATGAATTACACATATTTTAAATGTAAAATTTGACAAGTTTTGACATGTAATAGCCATGAAACCATCACCATGATCAGAAAAAATGAACATACACATCACTCCGAAATGTTTCCGTTATAGCCTCTAATTCCTCCCTTCCACCCTCCCCATCTCACACTTGCTCCCAAGGCAAACACTCATCTGTTTTCCATCTCTACAAATTAGTTTGCATTTTCTAGAATTTCAAATAAATAGAATCATATGGTATCTGTTTTTTTGACCTGGCTTCTTTCACCTGACATATTTTGAGATTAATCTATATTGTTGGGTGTATCAATAGTTCATTCTTTTTATTGTTGAGAGATATGCCCTCGTACATATATGCCACAATTATTTTATCCATTCACTTGCTAATATCCATTCACTTGCTAATAGATATTTGGATTGTTTCCAGCTTTACAAATAAGGCTGCTATGAACATTCATGTACTTATATAAGTCTTCATACATATACATGCTTTCCTTTTTCTTTTTTAAATTAGCCTCCAACTTAGTCCTTCAAACCTTTTCATTTTTTTAAGAGTCAAGGTCTCTCACTGCAGCCTTAGACTCCGGGCTCAGGTGATCCTCCTGGCTCAGCCTCCCAAGTAGCTGGGACAGCTTGCATGTGGCACCACTCCCAGCTGCTTTCCTTTCTGTTGGGCAAGCACTTAGGGTCAGGTGGGAAGTGTATGTTTTTAACTTTCTATAAGGTAAAAACTGTTTGCCAAAGTAGCTGTACCATTTTACATTTCCACCAGCAGTGTATAAAAACTGTAGTTACTTAATATCCTAGCCAACACCTGGTCAGACTTTTTAATTCTAGCCATTCTAATAGACATGTAATTCACTCTGGTTTGATTTGCATTTCAATGACATCGAACATCTTATCATGTGCTTACTTGTCATCTGTGTATCTTCTTGGGTCTGTTCAAATCTTTTGCCCATCCTTTTTATCTGAGTTCGTTTTTTTAGTACAGAGTTTTAAGAGTTTTGTGTAGATACAAGTCTAGATACAAATCTTTCGTTGTATAATTGGCAAAATATTTTCTCCCAATGGTTTGTATTTCTATTCTCTTAAGAGTGTCTTCCAAAGAGCAGAAATTCTTAAATTTTCTGAAGTCCAATTGATCAAATTTTACTGTTATGAAATTTTGCTGGTGTCATCTCTAAGAAATCATTGCATAATTCAAGGTTACAAAGATTTTCTCCAATGTTTTATTCTAGAAATTTTACAATATTAGGTCTTAAATTAATCCTATGATCCGTTTTAACTTTTATATATGGTACACGGTATAGACTGAAGTTCACTTTTTAGAAGTGCAAAAGGTTTACTGGAAAAAAAATTTCACAAATAAAATGAAGTTCACTTTTTGCATATAGATATACAATTCTTCAAGCACCATTTGTTGAAAAGATTATCCTTTTTTCACTGAGTACCTTTTCACCTTTGTCAAATATCAACTGGCCACATATGTCTGTGAGTCTATTTCTGGACTCTCTATGATGTTCTACTGATGTATTTATTCTGTTAAATTAAGTTCAGCCTAAAGCTGCCTCCTTCCACATTTGAAGTTCAGTCTAAAGGTTTCTTCCTACACAGAGAACTATAACCTAACTCGATGTGTAAACAGACTGCAACACACTCTTGTACCAATCACTGAGTTTTAGCCAATCACTGAGTTTTAGCCAATCAAAGGCAGCCAACTTTTCAAATTGTTTTCAAGTAAGGCAAACAGGGAGCTGTAACCAATCAGCTGTTTCCATACATCACACTTCTGCTTTCTGTACATCACTCTCCTTTTTCTGTTCACAACTCTTCCACCACATGGCTGCACTGGAGCCTCTGTGAACCTGTTCTGGTTCAGAGGGACTGCCCAATTCGTAAATCATTCTTTAATCAATTAAATTCTGTTAAATTTAATTTGTCTAAGGTTTTCCCTTTAACAATTCTTATACCAGTAGCACACTGACTTGATTACTGCGCCTTTATAATAAGTCATGAAGCCAGGAAATGTAAGTCCTAAAACTTTATTCTCTTTTTAATGTGTTTTGCTCTAAATCCTTAGCATTTCTGTAAGAGCTTTAGAATCAGGTTGTCAATTTCTACTAAAAACTTTGCTGAAATATTAACTGAGATGGCAATGAAACTACAGATCAAGTTGAGTAAAACTATCAATCTTAACAATATTGCATCTTCTGAACCATAAAAACAGTATCTCTCTTGACTTATTTAAGCCTTTTAAATTTATATCAGCAATGTTTTACAGTTTTTAGTGCATAGATCTTACATGTATTTTATTAGCCTTATCTCTAGTTAGTGTTTTTGATGTTATTACAAATGGTATTTGCAAATGTCAATGTTCAATTGCTTGTTACTAATATATAGAAATACAACTGACTTTTTTTTTAAGAGACGGGGTCTCACTGTGTTGCCCAAGCTTGTCTCGAACTCCTAGGCTCAAGTGATCCTCCTGCCTTGGCCTCTCAAAGTGCTAGAACAATTAACTTTTATGTATTGAATTTCATCTTGCAACCTTCCCAAATTGATTAATTAGTTCTAGAATTTCTAGTATTTCTTCTGTACATTCCACAATATTTGCTACATAGACAATCATGTTGTCAGTGAATACAGACAGTTGTACTTCTTCCTTTCTAGCCTGAATTTTCTTCCCTAAATCTGAATTATTTTCCTTTATCTTCCTTTATTTCACTGTCTATAAACTCCAGCACAAAGTTGAATGTTCTCGATCTTAGGGAAAAGCATTCAATCTTAAATTATTAAACATGAAGTTAGCTGTAGGTTTTTCATACATGCCTTTATCAGGTTGAAAAGATCTCTTTTATTCCACAGTTTGCTAAGAGTTCTTTTTTTTTTTAAATCAGGAATAGATGTTTGATTTTGTCAAATTATTTTTCATCTACGGCAATCAAATGATCATACGGTTTTCTTTTTTAGCCTGTTAATATAAATTGCTTTCCTGAGTTTTGAGAGTTAAATCAAGCTTGCATTCCATACATTTACTTGGTCATGATGTGTTTTTCTTCTTATGAATTGCTGGATCATTTGTTAAAATTTTGTCAGGTATTTTTATAGCTATGTTCATGAGAAATATTGGTCTATACTTTTACTTGTAATATGCTTGCCTGGTTATGGTGTCTGTACTATAGAAACACAAGGGAAGTATTCTTTCCTCTTTAATTTCTTAGAAGAGTTAGAATATAATTAATACCATCTCTTCCTTAAATGTCTGGTAGAATTCCATAGCAAAGCCATCTGTGTCTGCAGTTTCCTTTGTGGGAAGGTTTTCAACTACAAATTCAATTTCTATAACAGATACAGGACTACTCAGGTTTCTATTTCTTCTTGAGTGAGATCTGGTGGTTTGCGCTGTTCACTGAATTTATCCATTTTATATAAGTTGTCAAATTTACTGGCATAAGGTTGACCGTAATAGTCTCTTATTATCCTTTTAATATCTGTAGAATTTATATTGATATTACCTCTCTCACTGGTAATCTGCATGTCTCCTAATTTTTGATTAATCTGGCTAGATATTTGTATTTTAAAAAAATTTTAAATTAAGCTTCTCGAAGAACCAGTTTTTGGTTTATTTTCTATTCCATTTCACTGATTTATGCTCTGATATTTCTTCTACTTTTTTTGGTGTCATTTACTGTTTGTTTAGTATTCTAATTTCATAAGACAAAACCTGAGGTCATTGACTTTATTTGCTGTAATTTCCCCCAAAGTACTACTTTAGCTATATTCCACAAATTGTGATGCCCTGTCCTCACTTCTTTATGTATCTTAGATTTTATGGTATATCATTTAAAATAATCCTTTGTACACACTCAATTCTCTCAACCCTTTTTTGCTTCAGCACAATTTACTGACTGCTTTCACATCAAATTTAAGACCACTAAGCTCAAATGGATCCTTAGTGCATTATACTCGTCTCCCTAATCCAGTGACTCTCAAACTTTTCTGTACATCAGAATAGCTTGTTAAAATACAGACTGTCCGTCCTCACCCCCAGAGTTTCTGATGCAGTATGTATGTCTGGGATGGATCCCAAGAATGTGCATTTCTAACACATTCTCAGACGATACTGGTGCTGTTGGTCCAAGGATCACACTTTGCTCAAATCCATATTTACTCTCCCACTTTCCTAACTGAACATCTCTTCAAATCCCCAATTCCTTTTGCCCCATCCTCCCTCTTACTGAGAAAACAGAAGCAAGCAGCAGATAATTTCCACATGCTCTCAATGCCACATCTACCTGCCTACCTCTCTTGACACCATCCCCTGCTTGATCACTCTGTTCTATCTGTAAAAATCTTCCTTGCTTTTTTGCAAACGCATCAACATTGTCCCCACTTCAGGGACTTTACACT